TAATAATGAATACATCTTTAACAACAATGACCTAAATATTATTTCATGAATGATCTTGGGTGGATTTCTCTCCCTCCACTTCTTGGCCACCTCCATCACAAACTTGCTAAGCTAGTAATTCAAGTTACTGCATCCTTTTTTAAATGCTGGTAGAAAGCTGTTCGACCTTGAGTAAATCATAGTCTTTAAAAGAGTGCTTCTGGATCGAAAACGGGAGCTATAACCGACTGAGAAATTTGCCATTCGCCAAAAATTGTTAGCGTCTATTTGTACTTACATTTGCTAAACTAAACGAGGGAATAGCTTTTCGATTAACGCGCTTCCTTCTTAAACCGTTTTTGGCACCCTAAATTTTGCCGCTCTGTCTTCACTCATGGTCATACAGCAACTACACCAAAGCAATAATCCTGCATGCATGTTAACGTAATGCTGTGTGTTTCATCAGGGGTTCCAAACACCATCTGGTACTCAGTGTTTGGAACCCCAGATGAAACACTCACAATCGTTTGTGATATATTACTTCAATATTGGAAAATAACTGTCGACATTACGAAACGAGAATCGTTCATCGCTGAATATAATCTCAAGAAGAAAAATTCAATACAATTCCTTTTGCATGAAAGTTTACCTGATACGAAGTATTTTTCTGGTCTTCTTGTGAACAAGACATTGGAAGAAAACAAATGGGATCTATGGTTTAGTAGGCTACCTTTGGTTTATCATTATCAGGGATAATCACTGTGAATTCGCTGGCGAAAGGAGGATAACTAACAGACAAGGGAAAAAAATTGTAGAAAGTGGTTTTCTGGCGTAATATTTTGTTTTTGTTCATAATTTCGTTTCAAGTACTAGTCGGATACGTATAGGAGGAAAAAAAGCTGCAAAGCGCAATCAACTAGTTAAAATTAAATTATTAAAAGGCACAATTAATTACACACTCAGGTAAACTCAAATATTTTGTAATTAGTTCGCTGCTGGGACCAAAATTTTCAATTGAAATTGTTTAATGCGTTCGGAGATGGTGAAAAATTGAATTAATTCTAAGACCGAGTAAAAGCGCCAGTTTAAATTATTTATTACGCTTGCTAGGGCTGATAATGATTCACGTTTCAATTCCACAAAAATGATAAGTTTTTTTTTTAGCATCCTGTCAGCGGAGGTTTAATATCAGATGTCTCCATATTTTCCTTTCAGTGTTATTTCTTAACTGTGGTACCTCGCAGGTTTCGGACACTTTCTTACAAAAAGAGTAATTTTCCAGCGTAAACGCTGATTGTGGATATTCTTTAGAAAGTAGAGTTTCAGTGATCGTGGATAGACGTGAGATGTTTGGATCTCATTTCTCGTTTCAATCACAGATAACCTACTAGAAAAACAAGACGAACGAATAAGTGAGGTAGCGGGTGTTTTAGTTTACTTAACTCGACGTTAAATCCGTTTCTTTACTGCTGGAAGATAAGTGAAGTAAGACAAGCAGTGAAGCAGACAATCAGACAAGCATTTTGCTGTCCATGGAGTTAGATCCCTCATGAGTTATACTTATACTGAATTCTTTCAAAGGTGACCATAAAGCAGCGTTTATTGTCAGAGAATACTTATCATTATTATAGGATAGGAAGAAACAGGAAGATCAAAGAAATGTTTGCTCAAGGTTTGTAGATAGTCTGAAAGAAAAGCAATTGAAACAGTAACTATATCTCTTAAAAATACATCTCGTGCTACTAGTTCATCATAATTAACACCTTCAATCAAATATGGCGTTCGGACGCGGCTTCAAGCTCTCCGCAAATTTATGTGTGTTTCTCTGTATTGACATCACTTTGGAGTTCTTCAGGTTCTCAGATGTATATGAGAACACTTTGCTTAACGATAGAGAGACGTTTTTTGTTTCCCAGACGTATTGTAGGGCTGAAGTTGCTGGTGCTTCATTTCATCGAAACGAACCGACCCGGAGGCAAGAGTCTAATGGACGACTGAAGAGTGTTATGCTTTGTAAGCTTTTTCATCGTGCCTGTTTTGCTTTGACTCTTATTGCTCTTGCTGGTGACATTGAGATTAATCCCGGCTACCAGACATTTGCTGATATCAAGTCCACTAGAGGTCTCAAGATTGCTCACTTGAATATACGAAGTCTCGCAAACAAAACCGACTCTCTGCGTCTTGAGGGAATTAACAACAAAACTTTTGACGTGCTAACTCTGTCCGAGACTTGGCTGGATTCCTCAACAAGTGATGCTGAAATAAAACTCCCTGGATTTGTGTGCATAAGGTTAGATCGCACTGGCAATAAAGAGGGATATGGCGGAGTTGCTATGTATGTAAGAGAAGATTTGGCGTTTCGTTTGCGGAATGATATCAATACTGGTGGACAGGAATGTTTATGGATTGAGTTAATTCGAGATAAATGTAAGCCAACGTTATTATGCTGCGCTTATAGAGCACCAGATGCCGATCTCTGCACTTTTATTTCGTCTCTGCGAGATAGTATGCCTGCTGTTGATCTTGAAAAATCGGATGTGATCATTTTAGGAGATCTAAACGCAAACATGATGCCTAATTCAAAATTGCCCAAGAAAGACAAACAACTACTTCTCACCTTCTCGCGCGCTTTTGACTTCACACAGCTGATAAAAGAGCCTACTCGAATATCTGACACCTCACGGACCTTGATTGACCTGATTTTTGTCAATAATGAACATCGTATTGTAAAATCTGGTGTTGTTCCGTTTCCATTGAGCGACCATTACCTGGTGTTTTGCATTCTAAAGACTGGTGTGCACACAAAAGCACATCCAAGAATGTTTGAGTATCGCTCTTACAAGAATTTCGATGCGAATTCATTTAACGAAGATCTTAGGAATGTTCCTTGGCACGTCGTTGACAATGAAAACAATATCGATGACGCTTTATTAACTTGGAACAAACTGTTTTCAGAAGTTGCAGACGATCATGCACCTGTCAAACGACGACGTGTGAAGGGAACACCTATTCCTTGGATGAATAGCAAAATTAGCGAATCAATGAGAGATCGAGACTGGTATCATCGTAAAGCACGTAAATCGAACTCAGAAAAGCACTGGAACACTTACAGGAAACTGAGGAACAAAGTAAACCGCTTAGTAAAATCTGCTAAGTCGAAATATTACTGCGAAATGATCGAGGAAGCCAGAGGAGATCACGGCAAAATGTGGAAAGCTGTAAACGAAGCATGCAATCGTAATTCATCCTCAGAAAAGGTTCAGTGCATCATTTCCGATGGCATTCAGCACACCACTTCCAAATCCATTGCTGTTGCTTTGAATAGCTTCTTTGCATCCATAGGCAAGCGCCTAGCTGACAAAATAACGACTACCTGGTCGAATTGCAACTTGGTTTTAGAACAACCGTTGTCTCAGTTCCAGTTAACTGAACTAGAGGAATCGTTTGTGTTTCAGCAGCTTACCTCTTTGAAGACAAATAAAGCAATTGGTTTGGACAAAATTAGTGCTAGACTACTCAAGAGCTCTGCTAATACAATCACTCCCTCCATCACTAAGCTGTTGAATCGA